TATTTTTTTAAAAAGTACAATCTTGTTGAGAATATAATAATAACTTCAATAAACAATTAATTATAATAATAGAAATAAATAAGAAATCCAACAGAATGATTAGAATTTATAAATAGTAACATTTCGGCTTTGTTAGGTGATGATCGGGATCGATGCTCACTGAGTTTCATTAAAAAATAAAGAGTAAAAACAGGTATAAAAGTTTCAATTGGTTTCAAATGCTTCCACTGGACCTATTAACCTTTTAGTTACGCAGAGCCCGATGGTCACGCCCCATGTGTGCGGGGTAAGGTCTAGCCAACCCTCAGTGAGCGGGATTTATTCACTGAACTGCTCCCATCGCTTTGCATTTTTCACATTAAAACATCCTTTTTTTTTTTTAAACTGATAAACATTTCTCTTTAATATGATGTTAGCTCATATTTATTAAAATATGAGTTAAATTTAATAAAATTTAAAACACAGTTAAATTTTTTACTTTCACTTACCTATATATTTAACAAATAATAAGGGAAAGTATTACGATCATGAAAATTTTATAATCTGAGTTTTCATGCACATTTTGAGGTCCTCTGAGTGTAAATAACCAATGCACACAAAATAGTCTGTGTATGTATGTGATCAGTCTAGCTCAAAAATGAAAAGTCATAAAAAACTGATATTACCTATTTAAGATAGGTATATGCCTTGGATGTGACATCAATTTTTTTGTTAAAATCGACTAACCGGAAGTGGCACTTTATTTCAATGATTATACACATTTTTACAATTTTCTCAAAACTGGCACCAACGATTTTGATTAAACTCGGTATATCATTGTATAATTAAGTGGTATTTAATATCATTGAGGTCTTATCCATGATACCACTTTAGGGCCATTACCTTGGCTAGGTGGATTTTAAATACTTTTTCAAATGATATTAAAGAGCATTTAATTATACAATGATACACAGAGTTTAATCAAAATCGTTAGAGCTGTTTTTGAGACAATTGTAAAGATGTGTTTCAGCGTTGATATAAAGTGGCACTTCCAGTTAGCCGATTTTAAGAAAAAAGTTGCTAGGACATCTAAGGCATAACTATCTTAAATATGTAATATCAGTTTCGTATGACTTTTTGTTTTGCAGCTAGTGTTCATATACACAGACCATTTTTCAGGACTTGTGTCATTTGGATTCAGGGTACTATATTACATATATAGTTAAGTGAAAGTAAAAAAGCACATTTTAATATGAAAAGTGGAAAAAGATGAGTACAATTTAGTGAAGAAATCCCGCCCACAGATGGTTGGTTAGACCTTCAGTACCCACTTTGTCCTTCGCTACTTACTTGGTCTATAGGCACCTGAAAACTTAAATTTTCTTATTTTATTAGTGATATTTTAGTTCAGAAGTTTGTTTTAGTGGTAGATTTAGTTTATTAATAGGTAGTATTTATTTAATAATTTATACCTTTTAGTGTTTAAAGTGATAGGATTGGTTTCATATTCATAGCCTCTTACTTTATTGGTGATATTTTAGTTTAGAAGGTTAATTTTGTCGTTTAAGTGATAGATTTAGTTTATTAAAAGATTTTTTTTTTTTATAGTTACATGTTTCAATGTTTAAAATGACAGATTCGGTTTCATCTTCATAGACTTATAGTTTTGAGTATACTTTATTCTATTAATTTTCTTTTGTAATTCAGTGGTAATGATAGAAAAATGTGAAAAATAAGTTTAAAACTTGATTATATAAAGCTTATGCCCATAATTTGAGGTTACTAGCCAAAAAAATTTTGATTTTGAAGTCAGTGGTTTCTAGTAGAAAATTTAAATTTGGTTTTCCTTTATAGGTATAGATACTTTCAGCATTTAAAATATGAGTATAGTTGATGACCCTTAGCTTTATTGAGATCTCGAGTAACTTCTTCTTCTTCTTTTTAATCTTGCCCTCTTCTACCACGGAGTAGTGTGAGGTTCCTGCTTTAGAGCCTTTTCCAAGAGTTCTGATCCTGCTCCAATCCATTCCTCTCCTGCTCAGTGCCTCCTAGACTGCTCCTTTCCAAATATTTCTGGGCCTTTCCCTTGGCATTCTTCCCTCAACTCTAGTTTCATACGTGGTTTTGGCAATTCTTTCCCCCTGTCCACCGTTCGTTCCAAATGTCCAAACCGCCATAGCTGATTCTCTTCAATTGTATGTAAGACCGGTTTTTTTTCCAGATTATTTCTAATTGTTGTATTTCTGACCCTGTACCTTCTAGTCTTTTCATCCTCCTCAGGTACCTTATTTCCAATGCTTGTATTTGGCTCCTATGTCTTGTACACTAATTGTTTGACCTTTTTAGGACATCTTTCATTCCTAGAAAACAAGATTTGAATGAATGGAAGCATTTTCTGGTCAATTTGTTTGTCTCTCTGATTCCTATTCATTATTATTCAGCCTTTTTCATCGAGATGAGCTCCCAAGTATCTGAAGTCTCTGACCTGTTCCAAACTCCTCTCTCTTTAGTCAGAGTATTTGGTTTCTGCATTCTTTCTCTCTTTCTATCCTCATTACTTTTGTTTTGCTAGTGTTAATTTCCATATTTACCAACAATTGTAATTCTTCCGGTAGGTTTCTGAGGTTAAATTGTAGATTTCTTCGGTTATTTCTGAATACGACTATGTCATCAGCATAGCCTAGGAGTGTGAGGTAAACTGTTAATATCCTGTGGCCCAGCCAAAACGGCCTCAATCTTGTCTTTGGCCTTTTTAAAACCATGTTAAGGACCGGTTTTGACATTCTGCTCTTCCATAGCTTTGGTTTGGTTATATCTGTATTTCTAACTCTGTCGAACGCTTGCGTCAGGTCCACAAAGCAGGTATAAACTTCTTTATACGTTTCCAAGACCATTTCGGAAAGCAGTCTCATTGTAAAAATTAGGTCTTGTGTGTTTCTTTGTGGACTGAATCCATAATGTTCCCTTCTAGGGTGCTCTCGATGACTCCCCTTAGTCGCTTTTCCAGAAATTTAGAATAAATCTTGCAAGGTATACTGAATAATGAGATATGAGATAAGATACCTGAGTGGTTTCGGCAGTCCCTGCAGTCTCTCTTCTTGTATATTGGGACTACAACTGATATTTCCCAATCGATGGGAACCTCTTTTCTTTTCCACTCTAAGTTTAGGAGGTGTTGAAATATTGCCTGGCCTTTTAGTCCCATGTTCTTATCATCTCTAGGGTGATGGCGTCTATGCCTGTTGATTTACACATTTTAACAGAAGCTATAGCATCTGCTATTTCCTCTTCTCCTATGAAGTCATCATCTTCCTCGGTTCAATACTGTGGGTCTTTTGTTCTGTCGGATTTATTTGCCACGTATTCTTATTAAGCACTTCTTCGAAGTGTTCATTCCATCTATTCATTATTTCCTCGCTATTAGTAAGAATATTGCCTTTCCTTGTCTTTTATACGTTTTATGACAGCCTCTTTCTCCTTACGTATGTTTCGAAGGCACCTATAAAAGAGCTTCTGATTTCCATGGATGTCTTCCTCCAACTTTTTCCCAAATCCTCCCATTCTTTCCTTAACAGTTGCTTGGCTTTTGCCATTTTGTATTTTCTTTGGCTCTTTTCTTAGTATTTTGTGTAGTCAACAGGGCTTTTTGCTTGTAGATAGCGTTTCCAAAGCTCCTTTTCCTGTTTTACATCTTCGTTCCATTAGGCTGTTCTTTTTAATCTTTGGCCTATTTTGGTTTTCCAACATACCTCCTCTACAACATCCAGCAATATCTGTTTTATTGCTTTCCAGCATTTCTCTCAAAAGTATTGATTGTTAGATACTTCTTCTACATTAATTTTATTAGCTTCAGCTAATTCTTCAGACTTAAGCTTGTAGGTGTTTATCTTAAATACTTTAGTGTGGCCTGATCTTTTCCTTTTTATAGATGGGTTTTCCAGAACCATTTCCATTTTCAGCAGGATGTAGTCTGTCCCAAATTCGGCTCCTCTCTTGACTCTAACGTCCCATATTCTTTTAATTCCTATTTTGGGATCAGAAACTAACTACTCAAGTAACTAAAAGTAGTTTTCTTTTATACCAGAATAAATGATATGATACTCATAATGATTGAATTTTAAGAAATAGATTGTTGTACTGCTGAAGTTCAGAAATGAAATAGGATTTTTTTCTAATAATTGAAAAAGGTTTTAGAATGAAACGGTTTCCAAGTAATCTTGAAGGGAGGAAGGTTTGGGCAACATAAGTGAAGAGAGAAAATTGGACTACAACAAATTATACTATGAGGTATCTGCCTGAATATTATTATATAGATGATAAATTGGTTCCTTTTACACTTAATAGTGATAATTTTAGAGTATTAAATTATTCCAAATTAATTTAACAATTTTTGTAGGAAGTCATATCTTCCAGTTCCAACAAATTAATAATTTTGTGGAAATATCTTTATTTACTGAATGTAAATATCAAGATGCCTATGAAATTTGATTTTCATATATTTCAAGTGAGGTTTTTAAGCTGAAACTGTTACAAACCTAGCTCTATTAGTTTTTAAAGGTATTGTTTTGTCTGGAAGTCTCCTACAATTTTTAATGATTTATAGTGATATGTAAATCTTATTTCTGATACATTCCTTACCTACATAGTTAATTTGTCATTTATATATATATATATATATATATATATATATATATATATATATATATATATATATATATATATATATATATATATTTTTTAATGTTGTATCAATTTTAATCTATATTATTATCATTTTATCGGACTGCTATCATTTAACATGGTTCTAAAAATTTATGTAAATCAAATTCTATACTCATCTTGGTATTAATATCCAGTAAATATTTAGAAGAAATTATGAATTTGTTTGAACTGAAAGATTTGACTTCCTAAAAAAATTGTTAACTTAGTTTGGAAAAATTAGAACTTGTCTTGGAATTCATTGTATAAGCAATAAATCAAAACCATATGAACTGAACTTGAGAACTTATCAAGAAACTTACATCAACTGCTGAGGCTGATTGTTCAACTGTTCTCCTATTAGAAGATCTTTTCTTTGGATGTTTCCTAGATTTTTTCTCTGGGATATGGGGAAAAATAGTAGGAATTGCATTCCATTTCAACAAGGGCCTTCCATCAGCTCGATTTTGTTCGAACATGTCTGGTGTAAAATGAGCCTAAAATGATTGTATGAAATGAAGTACTATGTAATAATTTAATAATAATAATAAAAGGCTTAGCGAACCCGAAGGTTCGATGCCGACACCACCAATCGATGTAATAAATTAACATTCTAAAATTATCATTGTTAAGTGTAAAGGGAACCAATTTCTCAACTATATGATAATATTCAAGTAGATACCTCACATATACGAGTAGCATTGGTTGGAGTCCAATTTTCTCTCTTCACTTTTGCTGCCCAAACCTTCCTCCGTTGAGGATTACTTGGAAACCGTTTCATACTAAAACCTTTTTCAGAGCTGTTTGAGCATCCAAAAGCACAGCAGTGAACCATCTTAAATAAACAATAGCAGTTTTAGAATTTCAATTATTAGAAAAAATAAGAAAATCCTATTTCATTTCAGAACTTTTGCAGCACAACAATCTATCTCTTAAAAATCAATCATGATAAGTATCATATCATTCATTCTGGCATAAAAGATAACTACTTATAATTACTTGAGATCTCAATAAAGCTCAGGATCATAAACTAAACTCATATTTTAAATGTTGAAAGTAACAATAGCTATAAAGGAAAACAAAATTTTAATTTTAAATTAGAAATCACTGACTTCAAATTAAAAATTGTGTTAGCTAGTAGCCTCAAATTATGGACATAAGCTTCATTTAACCAAGTTTCAAACTTGTTTTTCATATTTTCTTATCATTACCACTGAATTACAGAGGAAAATTAATAAAATTCAATTGTATTAAGCCATTTTCGAAACCTACATGAACCAAATCAACTGAGCAAGAGGCGATATAAAGAGTGTTCTCAAGAGGTTTACTGTATTCAGACTTAAGAAAAATTTAACTAGTACAAAAAATTTCTCTCATAGGTCGGTTTTTAATAGTAAATGTAAATGTGCAGTTTATAAATTTGATTTTATTTGTAAATAAATAAATATGGTCTGTTTTATGTTTTGTTTTTTATACCCCTTTGTTGATTAAAAATGTAAGTTAAATTGTTTTGTTCTTCAATCAATTGATAATTGATTGTATTCTATCCTTACAACTTTTTATTTCCCTCTTCGTTTTTTTTTCTTACTTGGTATATCATGCATGACAAAATAGAAAACATATACACAGTATAGCCTAAAACCTCTGATTTCCCTAAAATGAAAAACATATACAAAGTATAGCCTAAAACCTCTGATTTCCCTAAAATGGAAAACATATACACATTATAGTCAACAGCCTCTGATTTCCCTAAAAAGTAATGAAACAGAAATAAAATATGGTAAAGTTTACTTGGAACCTAGATTCTGGAGTAATGGAATTAACGAGTGATGAACGTTATTACAATTTTGTTGTATTATGATTATTTATCAACTTCTTTGATAATAGGTATATTAATATCGACAGGTAAATAGAAATTTTCAAATTATAGAAAAACTAATTTAGAAAATGTTTTATCACTTATATTCTTCTATCACCTTTAATAGGCTTATAAGTAAAATTAACATTTTTTCTCTATTTAAGATGCAATATGAAATATCTAAACTATGGTTAAAGCTAAACCATCTCTTAAAAAAAAATAAAAACAATTATTATCAATGATCAGATATTATTCTGTTGTTTTGTCTAATTTGATCGAGAATGAAATTTTGAATTATTTAAATTTCATGGGATCTTGGAGATGATGGCACTAAACATCCCTTCTCTCCACCCCCACCCTGACTAACACCCTCATTGCTTGGATTTACATCTCCGTAATCACGTGGGTCTTCTCTTTCTTTTTCTTTCTTATTTCAACCTTCTCAGTTTCCTTCCTCCTTCCTTTTATCCCTCTGCTCTGTTTTAACTCTGTATTATATTATACGTTGTCTATACATCTTGATAGACTTTATAACTTTATAATCTCAATTTTCTATCTAACTATTCTATTCACAATATCTTAATTTTACTGTTTATTTCCATTTCTTATATAACTTCATATTTTTCTGTTTTTACATTTTATTCTAAGATTCCCATTTTAATACTTATGTCACTTTTTTTTTTTTCATTATGTTTACTTCATCATTCCACACTTTGTACCGCTTATTATCATTTATCTCTTTGTTCTTACTATTGTCATTCTAACAACTGAATTTTACATTTTTTTTTTTTTACCTACACTACTTATGTTTTTCATACCTTGTTATCTGGTTCTTTTCTTAGCCCTGATGATGGCCTGAACTTCAGGTCGAAACGTCGGCTAATGTCAAAATAAATAGTATAATTTATTTTTGCCTTCTTATTTGACTGATCACCCCAACTATTCTTCTCTCCATTATTCACGACAGTCAACCATTTATCAATTATACACCTTAAGTATAAAGGAGTGTAATATTAAAAATACACTTGACAGACAATAAACAACTTTAGTTAAGAAAAAGGAAAAGAGTTAAAGATAGAGAACACAGACATTGGCCAAAATAGTCACAATATAAAAAAGTAAATAAAGTATTACTAATACAAGATGTAATTATGCTTTGAACTGTGCCATTTTATAATTCAGTCTTTTATGAACACTAAATTTTCATCTAAAAATTCTCAATTACCAAATAATAACTGAAAAATACATGACACATCTAACAGACTTTCAAAAAATCTAAAGTGTGCAAATAGTGATAAATCGTTCGCTAAGGATGAAGTCCAAAGGAACAGATCACTGAAGTGAACTTTTGGAACGATGAACGATATCCAAAGACTTACAGTTGTTCTTCTTGGTTTTCGTTTTTTGAGTACCCATAAGCTACTCCATAAGCCGAAGCTCCTTCGCTGTACAAATTGCTTTAAAGGGACTGCTTCTTTCCGCTACCTTCCCCAGGAAATATTTTAGAAATAATACTGAGAAGTACGAGAAAAGAAAACCGGAAATTAGGCTACTATTAAATAAATATTAAACTAGGATTTCCTGAAAATGAAATGTTTTTAAACTTTATATTTGGGTAGGAACTCCTTTCCACCGAGCATATGAATCTGTCACTCTCTGCCCACACCTTAGTTGGTCATTCACATATTCTCGTTATATTCAGCGGAGACCAGAAATAAAATTTCCTGGGAGAAGAGGGCATGCGCATCATGACCTTGAGGAATGATGAGCATATCTGATTACGTAATTATAGTCATTACACCAAAGTGTATTCAGACAATTTTCATTAGTCAATTACTGCTACTTAAATGTTTAATTATCATAGTAGTTATAATTTTTTTAACAATAAAAGTTTTTTGTACAGTTATTGAAGGCACTTGTTATAATTCTGTACAGATGTATGTGTATATTTACTTTTTATATAGGCTACAGAATTAAGTTTTTATAAATGTTTTTTTTATTATTTTAATGAAGTTTACAACTGTATTACATGAAAAATACAACAAGTAAATATGCATTGGTAACATGATATGTACAACATGAACATGTCAACTCAACTATATCTCAATTTCTATTAGTTATAACTGGGTACTGAAACGGGCATTGAAAAAGAAATCGTGTAAATTTGAATTGCAATGAAATTCAATAATAAAGAACCTCCATAAGATTAGCATTTAACTTTTTAAATAATAAAAAAAGGTTCGCATTCAGCTCAAAACTTGAAATAACATTCCATCTGATAGGTGTTTTGGGAACTATGGTGAGTCTCCTGATCCACTGTAGCTTGAAGTGTACGGCTCCTAAACACGATACTCTCAAACAGCTTTCAGCTATACTTTATGAATAGGCATTAATAAACGCTTTCATGACTGCGATGGTTTATTGTTTACAGTGATAGTTACAGCAAAAGTTACTGCCATTGTTGCAACTACCAATATGGAATGGCTGACTTAAAAATTAAAAAAGAACCGAGAATGAATGAAAAAGAGCTAATCCTAAAAAGTATCAATTACTATTGAAAATAAACAACTTCGCCCATTTTTACGTTTAATGCGATGAACTAGTTCGTTAGAGATAGAAGGCATGGCGGTAATGGGTTAAATATATATTCGTTCCCATTATCGTTGGTTTCAGCCACAGAAATTGAAATTGTAATAAGTTCACAACTCCCTGGTTTTACGGAATACATGATTGCTTTAAAGGTATTGGTAAAGGTCATTGGTACGTCAAAAGAAGAACAGATTTAAATAGATGCCATTTAACTTCACTATAATCCATGATTTAGAAAATATTGTTTTACTTTCTTGGATAAAATAAAAACGAAATATCATTCCATATTATTCATTTCAAAGGAAGCGATTAATGAAATGCAATCTCAATGACTCCTCTTTAAATTTCGATTAATTAACTCAAATGTCACACAGATTAATTTACATTGTTAGATAAGAAATTGCGATTATATTCTAGTCACTATTATACAAAAAAAAATTTTTTAATGACCTTTTTGTCATCGCAGCATGATCGTTTCTGCAAACACTTTCTGGGGTTTTATTTACTTTTTTTGTTGTTAGATTTAGGAATAACGCTCTTAAGTGGACTTAAATAAAGTACTTTGGTGTAGATAGGTAGATAGTTTCGAAAAAATATATTTTTTGTCTATCTTTAGCTGCAAGAATGACTCTAAAAAAAAAAGATATAAATAGATAGATAAAAGAGATAAATTGTAGCAGTACTCGAGAATTCCTTTCAAGGGTTGGTTCTATCGACGATGTTTGTTTTTATTACGTTATTCTTATCCCTCTTTACAATATCAATTTAAAAACTAGCGTTTATTGTCGATTAATTTTTTTTTTTGTGTCTTAAAATATTAGATTAGCACTATCAAGAACTGTGACAAAATAAAATAAAATTAAAACTCCTCTTCTATGATTTTGGGATAAGTTATTTTTAAGGGAAAATTTGTAAAAATAAAAGAATATGATACTATTCCTTCAGAAATAAATTGAGAATTATTTTAAATGTTATATCGTCGGCTTCATTTTAAAGAAACGAACATGTTAAACAGGTTGTGATTCGTTACATTAACATGTTGCCGACGATATTAATGACTTATTCTGATGTTAATTGCTCGCATTTTTCAAGTTATCCTGCTCCTACTATCTTGAGATATACACACTCTCTAAGGACGCGCACATACAATGAGCTACAATCTTATGTCATTCTCTGATTTAAAACTTCGGTTCATTGCGTTAAAGAACGACTCCATCGAAAACTATTTGTTTAAAACGTAGTGCTTTGGAATACTGTTCAGATAAATGAAAAATTTTAAGCAAATAATAATACAGAAAGGAGGTAAAGTCGCTTATGTACAGTGACAATTTCTTTCTGCTTTAAAAGTGAGAAGAACAGTTATTAAAAAAAAAAAAAAGATATGGTCAGAAGTGACTTCTAAAAATTTTTTAACAATAATTTGTAATTTAAAAATTGACTTGAACACTCTGAATGATCATATCAACAAATTAAGGTAAACTGTTCACTGGAAGTATGTCCAGAGGATTGACGAGGTGAGGAAATAATAAAGATAAAATCCTCTTTTAAAACTTGGTTATCTGACGTACATTGAAACCAAGCGTCGTTAGTTCTTCTTTAATCACTTCAGTTGGGGTTGAGGAGTGTACATTTCTTATCACCACTAGCTCTCTTCTGCCTCAGCTGGTAGGTGTGAAAATTCACATTTGTTTCAGATAAGTACTTCACTATTTTGCGGTAGGCTTCAGAAGAATCAGGTGTTATTGGTCCTGTTAAGGCAAAAATAACTGTCAAAGTTAGTCAAAATTTTATTTAGTTTGGATGCAGAACAACTGGAAATTTTTGATATTTTCACAAATATTGGAGGAGACCATGGTTCTCTCGGTATGGCTGCAGACTCCATTGCCTCTTGGTCATTTTGAAGCACTTGGTATGGGTTTGGAGTAAAGAAAGCAGATTATTCCATCATTTCTTGCGAAGAAGTATCTGGTTGGGACTGAGGTTCTGGACCTGAAGTGTTCTCTTTGATTATTGTAGGTGTTTCTCGCAGGCAGCGCCGAGCTCTTTGTTTGGCTGGTGAATCACGAGGAGTACTAACGCCGTCTGACAGGGTCCTCTTTGGCAGCTTGCCGGGAATCACTTGGTGACAACACCGCATATCATAAGAAAGGAAGAAGAGGGGGAAAAAAATGTATCAAACAGTAAATATCAACTGCTGATGATAAGAGATTCCGCAAAAAAATAGGCAAAAACAAAGACGAGTTGAGAACACACCTTTGCATCAGCTGATCCACTGCCTTCGTGTGCTCTCAAAATCGAAGATTTTCACATGCGATTTATGTGTTAGGTATCAAGAAACAAATTTGGTTCCGCATCTGTAGTCAAATCTGTGTGACGGGGGTTCCGATTTTTATGGAATGTTGAAATTGATCGGACAATAAAATAAAACTTACGAAACAAAACTAAAGCAAGGAGCCCACTCCCCATATTTTTAACATCAAAATGGCTTCTTAAAAGTCCGAACAGGGGCTGGGCAGTCCAAGTGGGTGCTCTGTCCAAGGCAACTTGGTCCAACTTAAGGTACTGATAGTTCAGTTTATTTCCCAAGTACTACATAAATTTTAAAAAGTAAATGTTTATATTTTTTTCACAATTTAAAAACAAAGCAATATATAGGTACATAACAAAACCTCCGCAACAATTTACTTTGAAGAATGACACATAAATTTACTTACCAAAATTAAGATCATTGACGAAATGTTGAAGGTAATTTTCATAGGAAAAGGATATTCTGGTTTAAAGTTCAAGGAAGGTAATGTTGAATTATAGATTATTTTGATTAAGATAATTATCAAACTAATTAATTTACCAGATAACCCCCTGTAATGTTTTTATCGTGTTACTCGCCTTCATGAGCACTATCTAATCATGAGGTTGCATATTTTTTATTATTTATAGTTCAGCAGATAATGTAATATAAGCCTGAACGGTAGCCATGGCGATTGCATTCTGACTCTACTTGTAAATCAACCGCTTCCGGTACGTATTACCTTTTATAGTTTCATAATATGTAAAATGGATTCTGTATTAACGGACCGAGACACGAACTGGTAACTATTTTTATCAAATTATCTTTGATCCGAGTTGCCGGGCAACTCGTAGTGCTCTCCACACTCATTAGAACGCCACCCCGCTCCTTAGAACATAACTGCAATGTTTGTAAATCAATTTAGAAGTATGTTAACCGCAGTGAAAAATGAATATGAATTATACGCAGGAGTGCCCATCTCCTCCCCCTCCTAGAAAGATGGCGCATCTGGAGCGCGGGCCATCTGCTGCAGGACAGTTACGTCAATGATTTCAGAATAGCTATTATTTATATAGGACATATATTAAGGACAGCTATTATGTAGGACATATATTAAGGACAGTTATTATATAGGACATATATTAAGAATAGCTATTATATAGGACATATATTAAGGACAGCTATTATATAGGACATATATTAAGGACAGTTATTGTACTTCGGAAATTCCTGAGACGTTAAGTGAGGTGCAACGCAGGGTAGCCGCGCAGTGAAGTTAAAGAAGTTAGATTAGAATTAATTTTAGCTTTTAAACCAACCGAATCTGAGACATGCTAAGTAAATACAATTCAACTATACAAATGTAATATACAACAGGTTGATAATTTTTTTTTTGTTGGGAGGTGAGGGTCATGACATCATTTCCCAGAGCCGTCACGGACAAAGTGACGTAACTAGGGTGTGCTTCTTAAAGCTTCGATTGAACGGTTAATAGCTTGTCTTATCTTCTGCGTTGACAATATCAGAAATTACGAAACCAATAAATCTGCTAGTCGTTCCAAGAAGGACCAATCAGTACAAGATTTTCAGCCTGAGATAATGGCGTTAGACGACTGACCCAAACCGAAACCTTGACCTTCGATTGCAGCCGTTCTGATTAATGAATTGGGAAATGCAAAAACTATTGCATTGGCTGACCTCGCGGTCGCAGCAGCCGCGCCCTCTACCCGTTTCTCGCCCACTCTCGCTACCTCACTCGACAGTAACATTCTCGCTATCTCAATCGACAGTAACATTCTCGCTATCTCAATCGACAGTAACATTCTCGCTACCTCACTCGACAGTAACATTCTCGCTACCTCACTCGACAGTAACATTCTCGCTATCTCAATCGACAGTAACATTCTCCTACCTCCTCGACAGTAACATTCTCCTACCTCCTCGACAGTAACATTCTCCTACCTCACTCGACAGTAACATTCTCGTTACCTCACTCGACAGTAACATTCTCCTACCTCCTCGACAGTAACATTCTCGCTACCCCACTCGACAGTAACATTCTCCTACCTCCTCGACAGTAACATTCTCGCTACCTCACTCGACAGTAACATTCTCGCTACCTCACTCGACAGTAACATTCTCCTACCTCCTCGACAGTAACATTCTCGCTACCTCACTCGACAGTAACATTCTCCTACCTCCTCGACAGTAACATTCTCGCTACCTCACTCGACAGTAACATTCTCCTACCTCTTCGACAGTAACATTCTCGCTACCTCCTCGTAATGCTTTTGGAGCTGCTGTAAAATATTTTTGAAAACAAAGTTGCTCCAAGCCTTAGGATGTACTTATGGTGGGAAACTTTTGGCCACTTATTTAACTGTAAACGTTTTAAAAAATCTGGTGGGAGCATCACAAAACATTCACTTACCACTTTCTTTTAAATAGAAATTATTACTTTCCACTACCAAGATAAGTAATATATAGCAAGGGAAAGTATTGTGATCGTGAAAATTTTCGAATCTGAGTTTTCAACGGAAATACACATTTTGAGGTAACCTGAGTCCAAATAACCAACATCTGTAGTAATTAGAAAAACGAAATTGAAGAGGTTATTCATACAAAGTAAACTGTGGGAAATCCATTTATTTTATTATTGCGAAATTACTTAGAAACCTAAAAATTAATATTGTAAAATATATTATTCATGAACATGCCTATTACCGGTACACTTACCTTACGTAAATTACATTCCGCCTCTATTCGAGTGTGTTGAATAGACATTCTCGATATCATTACATTGTTTATAGTAATAAACAGGTTTCTTCAATATCATTTATACTTGAAATACATTCAAGAAAAGGATGTAATGCGGGAGTTCTCGCATTTGGTAATTCCTAAAGTCAGTGCTGAGCTCAGTGATGAGCATCGGAAATCCTTTAAACCATTTTAAACTCATCGATTGAATCAGCGATAGCTCACCAGTGCTGCAGCATGTAACCTCATTATAATCTTAGTACTGTTATTTATTCATGTACTTTACATATTTATATTTAATTTACATTCTACCTAAATTTTTTTATGTTTTTAAAATCGACAATACAGGTAAATATTTCCTGATATTTTTCTCCTCGTATTTTGTAACCTTCCAGGAGTGTTAACATTCTTTTAGAACACAGCAGGTCGTTTCTAAACTCACCACTAATCGCTGCCGGATTCAATCGATTAATGGATTTCTTCAATGGAATTATCGCAGTGTTTAGGAACTTGCCAACAGCAACACGACGGTCAAGCTATAGTTATAAGTAATAAATAAATAATAATAAGGAATAAATAAAGGAATAATAATGATCATTTCATTATACTCTATATTGCTTATTTTGTATTGTATTGTTTTTATTGATACCTTAATAATAATTAAAATAATTCATCAATATACCAAGCGTGATATTAAAATAATAAACGCATTTATTTTAGGGTAAAATGGCAGTGAATGAAAAACTGTTGCACACGTCAATATATGGATACTACCTGGCAGTGCTATGTCGTATCTTGATGGTCGGCGATTTGACAGGGGTGTCATCAAATACCTTTTTTGATCTTTATATGCGATTCAATTCGAGATTTTTAACCAAATGGACTTTTGTAATAAATTTATTGAATTTAAATTGTAATAACTGTATTGTCATATTATTTTATTTTAATGTTTATTTTACTTACAGATAGTGATATTAATTTATTATTCTTCCATGGTTCTGTCCCACTTCCTCAACTTGATTTTTGGTGAATCCAAATCAAGTTACAAATTGCGTAGATTTGCAGATGCTCTATTTACTACAATTGTACTTCCTATTGGAATGGTAAGTTGTTAGGTATAATGAATTATTATTTTATGCTGCTCTTAATTTAAAACTATGACGGGATACATACATGCCTTCATTACGTTAATTTAATTTCTCACTATGACTGAAATGATGACTTATCAAAATATTCCAAGTTTTCATCAATTGACCACCGAAGGGTTCTACTCCTGTGAACAAACAATAAGCCTGTGACTGCTAACAGATAGAATGTTCAATATTGCCCAAAATAATTAATAGATATTATTATATTTATTTAATATGAGAAAAAAAAGGCCCAAAGTGTGCTTGATTGATTTTTATCAATTAATAAAAAAAGAAATAATTAAGAGTAAATGGCATTGGGAAGATCAAGGGAGAAATACTTTATCTATAAACAGAATTGCCTAATACACATAATATTTTTCGGATATAACATAAATACGAACATTTTTTCCTATTCATATTAAATATCAAACTACAACAATATTATTAATATTTATGAGCTTATATCTACTTCTTAAACTGCTGAATAGTCTGTCTTAATCTTTCCTTTTTCTTTCTTATTACTTAATCAGTTCTCATATAGTTTCTCTTTCCAGTTAACTCAATCTAAGACTTATATAAACTAAAAAAAAGAAAGAAGTTTTTCAACCAAATATTTGTATTATTTGTTTGATATAAAATAGAATTAACACTCAAAGTATAGTCCATTGTTATCTACCGTCATTTGCCATCTGCTAGCCAATTGCTCGATCCCACGCTGATACCATTCTTTGGGATGGCTGTCAAACGACTCTTGGACCGCAATGTCAACTTCCGCAAGATCATCAAATTTTTTCTCTTGAAGAAAATGGGTCATGGATCTAAATAAGTAGTAATCCGATGGTGCGAGGTCTGGACTATATGGAGGGTGAGGCAGGAGTTCAAGCCCATGGAGTTCTTTAAACTTTTTTTTGGTTCGACGAGGACGAGCATTATCTTGTTGGGATAAAATTCCTTTTTCATCGATCAAAGCAGGATAACGCTCTGACAACTTTGCGTACAATCTTTCCAGTTGAGTTCAGAATTCATATAGCATCCATCAAGAACAAATTCGTGATGAGAATAATACCTTCAAAATTTCAAAAAAACGCAAAGCATGGATTTTGTTTTTTCAAATCGCCCTCTTGCAGCAACCGGAAAACCAGTTTGACTGCGATCTAGCCATCGCCTACGGGTATTCGGGTTTCGCCATTAAATCCACTTTTCATCACAGGTGATAATCTTCCGGTAAAATCTCATACCAGAAGGGGTTTTCAATAAATTTTAACTAATTTCTAATCTCTTAGCTGATTGCAAAGGAGTAAGTTCGTGAGAGACCAGTCTACTGCTCTTTTTCACCTTTCCCGTGGAGAGTAGATGGCGACTAACAGTACCTTTCGACACACCACACTCCCTGGCAAGTTCGCGAGTGATTGTGGACTGATTTGACGCTACAGCTTCCTGCAGAACCTCATCAATATCCATTAATGGACACCCGTAGCCAGAGGTACCCATCCTCCCTAAGGCCAATAGCGCAAGAATCTTCCCTCTCCCCTTCTCTCAAGATGTTTTATTGCTCATCTTTCCTTAAAAACAGAGTAAGCTACAGTATTATCTTAGAAAAATCTTAGATAATATGCAATTACACTTGCTGCGGTCGCTTAGTCCGGAAATTCACAACCACATCGAAATTTGTCCCCTTGAAGGCATCCCTGCCCGGAGCCCTTCTTCCTTTCCAACGTCGTATCTCCACTGCTATATTTTTCAAACCAACACCACGTAGTGCGCTGGTCAAGCACACCTTTCCCTTCACATTTAATAATTTCACGAGTTGCTTCAGCGGTTTTTTACTTTCACTTACTTATATATGTAATATATAGTAAGTGTAAGTATTGCGATCGAGAAAATTTTTTTCTTCAGCGGAGGAAATGTTGTTTTCAGCAATACCTTAAAATTACGAGAATTTCGTAGGACACTGTCATGTTTCCTCTTTGAAACAAATAACTAAACTGAGGCTTTTTTTGAAGAGGTTTCTCATTTGCAAGTAGATATTTCTTCAGATTGGCTAATAAGAAAAGAAAGCAATACATTAAGAAATTAAAATCCTATAGGGATAAAGTAGGTAACTTGATGATCAACAAATCTTAAGTTCTTGATGAATGGAGGAATTATTTCAATAATCTTCTCAACACAAGGGAAGAAGACTCCTGTGATGAAGTAAGAAATCAAGAAGAAGAAATCAACATACTACAGGTGGGGGGGCAAGAGATTGACCTTGAACCACCTGATGAAGGTGAGATTGCAGATGCCATCAGCAAAATCAAAAATAATAAGAGCCTAGTGCTGATGCACTCTCGGCTGAACTCTTAAAATGAGCTAACCAAAGCACTCTCACCAAGGATCTCCTCCTTGTGTTATGGACAGATGAGGTGATGCCCTCTGACTGGAATAGGTCAATTATCCGCTCCCCCCCTCCATTAGTATCGGGATCCTGCCAGTAGACTTGGGCTGAAAGTTGAAGAGTCCAAAACAGAATATATGGTAACAATAATTTCCCGTACCAGGCAAACAGTCACTATTGGGCTTCATAAATTGGGAAGTTGACTGAGTTTACTTATCTGATATCTGTGGTCACTCAGGATAATAATCCTGATAATGAGATAATGAGAAGGATTATAGTAGCCAACAAATACTAGAGCTAGTAGGTGGATATTTTTCAGACAGACCAAGTTTCACCTCTATAAGTCATTGGTGCGTACTTTTTTATGGATCGAGTGCTGGACAACTGGGAAGGCTATTAAAAAGGAACTTTTTATTTTTGAAAGACAAGTTGTCGACTGGAGTTAGAGGAGGAAGAGCGGTACATAACCCAGGAACTGAACAATGCTTTTGAGGAAGCAGATGTTGTAAAAGCAATGAAGTTGAGGCTCTTAAGGTATGCATAGTACATTGCCAGGATGGCAGATGGAGCAATGCTAAAAATATTGCTGGCACAGCCAATCTATGGAACAAGAAGAAGAGGGAGACCAGAGCTGAGATGGTCGGATGATGTAGTAGGAGATGCTCGCAACATCCTGAGAGTTAAAAACTGGATGGAGCACAATCTTGACCGTGACTATTGGCCAAGACCTGTAACCGGGTTGTAGCACCATGAAATAATTGTAATAATAAATTAAAAAGAAATTCAATTTTTATTTCTAATATTAGATAATTTAAAACTATATTATTAGTTATTAATAATATTAATATTTATATAAATCGTAACCGATTTTGGCTATTAAAATATATACTGCTTCTAAAACAGTTAAATTATGCTACTTATAGTTAGTAGTTTTTAAAAGATTCATTTTCAGCAAATGCACAACCAATATCATTTTTAATATTTTGTTTTGGCTTATTTATCTCAGTATTTCTGTTGGATATCTTCATTAATGCTTCTGCAATCAATTCTTGAGATCACTTTGCATTCAATCCCATCATGAATTCTAAAATTAATACCAAATTGTCATAATGCTGATAATATGTCAAATGAACAGCCACACACAATAGCCCTATTTTGAATCTTTCCTCTTTAAGTATGTAGAGCTTTAGAGAATAAGTAATAATTTTATGGTTATGTGTGAGGCATGTTTTATTTTTATGCTTTTTAAACTTTTAGAAATTTAATGATTGTGGTTGAGGGTGAATTAATGAAACTCTAATGGTTAACTTGTTTTGATTATTCCAACATTTTAACTTTTTTTTTTTAAATATGTCGAACTTTAGTCTTTCAATTAGGTGAATATTAAAGTCTGCAAAGAATGAGAATTATAACCTAAGAAATGAAATAGCAAGTTGATATTAATTTCGGATTTAAAATTACAATTTAATGTGAAATAATCTCAAGTATGGATTGAAAGACTATTAATTAGTGTGGGATATTAGAGACGAAAGATCATGAAAATAAGCAAAATAATGATATAAGAAACCCAAAGCAACAACTGAATATTAAAAAAAAATAAGGTAAAAATTAAAGTGGGTAAAATGTTGTATACATACAAGGCACGGGTTTAAAAACATTTGAAACAAGTCGTTAATAATAAACTACAAGTTCAAAGTTGCCTTATTCCATTATTTAAAAGCATTAAAATATATATAAGAAACACTTTCATTTTAGGCAATAATTAAATTATATTAGAAATAAGAACATAATTTCAAAATTATCTTAGTTTTCTAGCTCAAGATAATTTTGAAAGATGTAGACAAAATCTCTTTGCTCTATTAAATTTTATAACATTAGTAGTATTAATAAAATAACCTTGTAACATTTTTAAATTTCGTAATCCACTATAGTTATGCTACTCTTTGAAGATAATAACTACATATGAGGATGATTTAGATTCAAATTATGAAAAAGAAATGAGGACTTCCTCCTAGGGGAAAAGTCATACTAATACTAATAATAATATAATAATAAAATTAAATTAAATTATGTATAATGATCTTCCAATTCAACATTGTCAACTTTTTTAGTATATCACAATAGGCTTTTGGATAGTATACCATATTGACAGAGATCTTATTTTTCCAATATGGTTGGAGGAAATAATCCCAGGTTGGGTGAACCACGGCGTCCATACATTTAACCTAGTCTTACCTCTGATTGATTTGTTTCTGGTGAAGCACACATTTCCTCCATGGTCAGAGGCAGTATATTATTCCGCATTGTATTGTGGATCTTACACAATCTGGTGAGTATATTTAGTAGATTTACCAAAACTGAATTTGAAGATGAATTACTAAATGGGAGCTAATTATTGACAATTTAACTTAACTTTTACAGTCTTTTTGGAACATATTTCCAGCATGGATTCTGGCTCTATCCAATATTCGAGAAGATGACATTATTCCAGAGTATTTGTTACTGTATTGTGATTTATATACTCGTTTTGGTATTTCACCACATCGTTAAGCATGCTGCAATAAAATTTGGTAAACTATTTTTGAAAAATTGTTATCCTGAACTAAAAATGGATCAGTCCATGAAGTACAAAATGTCTACTATTTCTTATATCGTATTGTATTTTATTACTGAATGTTTTTAATTTAAATTAAAATAATCAGTATTAAAAATTATAAACTATAATTATAAACTGATTTTCTTTTATCATATACATATATGAATATATTTATCTACTTTTCCATAATTATCTATTTATTTTTCACAGGTATATCTGATATGGAAATTCAACAAAAGGAAAAAAATCATTGTTCAAAAAAAGTATCATAAGGGAAAAATCTTGCTTCTACAGAAAAGTTAAAATTTTAGTTGCTGAAAGAACTTTGTCATAAATTTTAAAAATTGAATAATCTGAAAAAAAAATCTGTTGTACTTTATGTTAAATATATTTATTTATTTTTTTATTTTGTGTGAACTCCTCAAACATTGGATGGTTCCAAATTACATGTTTGGTGACCCAAATATTCAATTCAAGTGTCAACATTAGGTCTATAGGCTTTGATCTTTCATGACTATATGTATATATATATAGGGTGTCCTATAGGGAAATTTTTTATAGGAATCATCGCAGACCCAAGAGCTACAAAAAAGTCCCTACAACGAATGGGCCAATTTTCAGCAGGAAAGTAGAAAATCCAAGTTTTGTGTTTTTTTAAGTGTCGTGTTTTTCCTTGAATAGGAAGCAACAACTAATGAAATATTTAATTTAAGGAATCAAAAATTGCTTCAAATGTAAATAAAACATGTCACTGATATAACTATTTAAAGAGGACTTTTAGGCGGCTAAACTAGTCTAAGTTCTGTTTTTTAAAAAATCATAAATTATTCAAGAATATTTTTTATCATCATCCAACTATAATACCCCACTTTTAGAAAAACTTCTTTGTTTAATAAACTTTAATTAATTAGAAGTTTATTGGGAAACATTTTGAGATTCACCTCAGGTTCTGTGAAAAATTATATGATTTTTATCCTGTCAAGTAAAAGTTTTAAAAGTTTTTAGCAAAAAATGGCTACAATTATTTGTTGCAAAGCTTTTATTTCCATGATATAGGATGTATTATAATAAAAATAATTGCCTAAATAAACTTTTTATTAATATAAAACAATGTTAAAAATAATGATTTTTTAAATATTGCAAAGTGCTAGACCAAGACCGATTTTGGGCAATACTATTTGCTATGAACAGTAGCGCCAAAACAGCCCTAACAATTTGATGAAACTTGTCTGTAGTCAATGCGGTAAAGGACTTTTAATTTTCTAATATGTATTCCAAACTCCCAAAAAAGCTTGAAAACATATAAAGTTATATTTAGAATTATTCAAAAAATAATTATATTCTCTACAGAACAAGAAAAACAATCGAAATCCAACCAATATAAGCAGCTGAAAGGCGTAGTACTCGTCAACTACATATTTATGTTTAAAAATATTAGTCATATTTTCCCATGAAATCCCGTTTTTTTTTCAACATGATTACTGGTAATAATTATATAGTTCATTATTACCCATTTACTCCAGTAAAAATTTTTTCAATTTAGGTATAAGTAATTTTTTATAATAATTTGAAGTAATACTAAAGTGAAACACTAGCGGGTCCAGGATTTAATTTTGGGGGGAGCTTCAACCCGAAAGCTTTTTTTTTTTCATAAAAAAATTGATAATTACTTTGGAAAAAAATAAAGAAACTAACTATATATATGAAATGGTGTTTAAGTGATTCCTAAAGTCCTTTTAAATGTAATTACACGAACAATAATACTTTAAGAGATCATTTTTTAATATTTTTTTCCATAAAACGTGGTTATATTTAACCATTTTGGGGGTGGGGAGAGGGGAGCTTTGGGATACCTAGATCCACCCGTGAAATGAAGCATCGATGTCAAAATAATTTGTAGCAAAAGGAAAGCATCGATATTTTCCTCAAGTTGATCCGTATCGGAAGACATTCCAACTAGTACGTACTTATTCACTTTACGTTCTTATCTTTTTCATGTTTCCATTATACTAGCCAAATGTAATTCTTTTGTACAGAATTTTTTTTCATTTTAAAAATAAATTCAAGTTGTATTAATTACAGCAATTGATTAAACAGCAATATCTGAAATAGAAGTCTGCCTCTGACAACGAGGTTAAAGTTCAACTATTCCTTATCAATTCATTTTATTTTTCACATAACTGTGTATGGATTATTAGTCTGCCTTCCATGTTTTTCTCAACAGCCTTATCTGAGATTGGATATTTTGAATTTTTTGTTTGTTTATATTTAAACTGATAATGTGATACATATATATCGATAACGTAGTGCGAGTGATGACACTCACCTTGTAAATCCAACGAGCTGTGAAATCACTTTGGTATGTGTTATTTTTATATTTTCATTTTTTCTAAAATGTACAGATTGCTGCCGCGTACGAGTATCAAGATTCATTTTCCAAGGCTGGGGAGAAATAAATATTAACCGACCATGGTGAGAATCGAACCCACAACCAGACACTGAGGAACCCACGCTCCAACCTGCTCCTCGGACATCACATTTTTGTTTTGGGGGGGGAGGAAGGAGAGGAGATGACGCCATTGCCCGGGGACGCCAAATGTCAACGACTTGTACTATTTACCTTGGATCACAATATTTATTGAAGTACTGACGCCCATGAGTCGAATATCAGTTCCATGAGCGTCGCTTATATCACGACTACTAAGCGATGAAGCAGCAGTCACGAGGAGGTGCAAAAACAATATTATGAACGTAAATAAAAACATTCTTCCTCCCTCTCACCCTTTCCCCTTCCAAAGAAAAATGACCATGTTCTCCATCAATGCATTTGTTAATCGATCATATACTATCGATCCATATAATATCGAAATAGGATTATTCAAAATCATTCTAAAAAAAAAAAACAGTTAAAAATTTTGCTGTCACGTTCTTTTGGGCGTTGAATTATTAAGTGAAATTTGCTTTTAATTAAATATTTATTTAAGCCATATAATAATTTGTTGATAAGTAAAAGAACAAAAAAATGTTTCCTGATTTTTTAGTTGATTAAATTCAGCAACCAATTGACATGCATCAAACGGAAACAAAGCAAAGATATTTTACTTGATTATTTTCTTATTCTTCGAACAGGTCTTGTTGATAGATTATTGTCGATGCAGAAATATGATTTAAATTTAATCGCAACAAAGGGCTAGTATTTGTATGTTACTAGAGTATTGTCGTTGAGAAAATAAAATATTCAACTAATTTGTCATAAATAATAAAAATGAATGATATTCCGGTATTTCGTTGAAGTGTTGTATTGGGTAGGTGGAAATGGTGAGCTATTTCGTGGGATGATCGATTGTTATGGGTGGTGTTACATCATTCTTTCATGAGAATAAACAAAATATTATCTTGATCCTCTCCATTAACAGTAAATAATTGACTGGCCAATGTTTCTATAATCAAGGTATCATCAGAGACGCAAAGAGAGCACATCCTACTTCAACAGCAGGGGTAGGCTCCACACATCCGGCGGCTATCGATTCGAAATTCATCTCCATTTAACCAATTATATCCAATATTTATCTTTATTTACTAGCTTGTTACAAACTTCCTTGTGCATAAGTACAGCCTTGTTTCATGTTTATTATTTTAGACATTGTTGAATACGCCTCTTCAAAGTAAAGTCCATTGTTTTCAACAACTTTCCCCCATTTAACATCTTTCCGACAGTAATTGGATTTGATGCCGGTGCTACTACTCCTTTGGCTTTGAGGAAAAGAACCCTTCGCATACAATTTTCACGTCCTTGCAATTATCAAAGCGATAATTAAAAAATGAGCCATTGACCTGAAAAACATAACGTGGTGGGGAAATATCTGACCAATAGGCGCAGACTTTCAATTCTGATGGGAGGGGGAGGCGTTCATATTATTATAAACATTATGAGTGATAATTAAAATAATCAACATAATTATTGTAAAAAGAACAATAAAATACTATATATTTCAAAATAAATTTCTGATGCTTTAAATTTGCGGCTGAAAATGTGATAAAATCTTAACAAAATAATGGAAGAGTGGACATGAATAAATCCTAGAATCCCAGAATATGTAATCAGCTATCAGAATGTTACTACAAATAATCACCTATCAATATAAACTAAAATTTCGATAATGGGAATATAGGATGTAGTAAAATATAAACCAGGATGTAGTAAAATACTTGCCTAGCTTCTTCTAGGTCTTAGCTTTGCCATCTGTTCGACTTTTCCTATTTTCTTAACTATTTTACATAATATTTTAATCATTTATGTAGATTAATTGTTAATGATTTATTTTTTTTAAGTTTCGTTCTTCAAAATATTAGGGGTGGTGGCGAAACGATGTTCTTCCCTTCTCTAATTTTTATTGGAGGGGCATCCCCTTAGGTCTGCACCTATGACCTGGCCTATAGTATAGGCCCTATACCCACAATGATGCAAAACGTTTAATGCTTGCAGTTCCAATAATTTTTCCAATAATGGCCAAACGAGAAAAATTTGCGTTCAAAACTGCATAAACCCTGCCTTGCTGTTCACAGTAAAGGTTAGAGGCCATTGCTCGATCATCAGTGACAAAATAATCAATTGCAAGATAGGAAGCGTTAATTTGCGAAAGACAGACTAAGTACTGTCTTTCGCATATCATTTTCTGAAGTTTTTTGACTCTCTATAATTATAATGCCAATAATTGCATTTATTCGCATATTACATGAACTCAGTTTATTATTAATCTAATAATGAGTGACCTATTTGCGATTTCAAGGTTGTACAGCACCTGAAAAAACATCTTAGGAAGTCCCTCAATTGATTTACTACTGATAGTAAACCTCTTAAGGTTTAATTAAACGATCTACTGGTAGTGAAAGACTATTCCAGAAATGTACATGTTGTGAAAGGGCATGGTAAGGTCAGTACTAATGTACAGATAATAGACTGTACAGAACTACTTCTCAGACGTAAAGATAACAGAAATGGGAACTAAACGTTGAAACTACAAATGAAAGGTTTTGTTTCCTCTCACGATTATTACATTTAAAGCAGACGCCATTGTGACGAGCGCACAGGAAGGAGCACGCAGCAAGGTCAGTTGTTGCTCTCGGGCTGTTCGGGTACGTTCGACCTCAACGTGAGTTACGTTATTTTTATTGAAGTTTAATATAATTTATCCAAAGTTTTATTTTAAATTCATTTTTTTTTAACTCATGAATAATTCATAATTGTTTTGATAAATAGGTATTACAACTATTTTTTCTATTGTTTCCTAAAAGTTTTGATCCGCTTAAATCGTCCATCCATTTAATGTAATCATTCTATGATCTTAGTTTGAGAGATGAAATATAAAGAAAAATAATAATATTCTTTTATAAAGTTTCAATTTATAGTAATTATAAATTATTATTATTATTATTATATAATATTATAATTGTTGGCTATTTAAAGATGATTAACTAGGCATTTCAATAGAAAAATCAAAGGAATTAAATTGAAAAGGCATATACTTTATAAGTTAATTAGGACTACAAACCTAATGTTTACTCCTTTAAGCTTCTCATCTCTGCAACCACAACTCGCCCGGCTCTGTACAACAGCAAAGCAATCGGCAACAGGTTCAAATATTTTCACAATAAAATATTCAGGAAAATAATCAGATGTGCTTCAATGCAGAGAATACAAACATTAGATATTAAATCACCTATACATCTATCGTTGGTTAGAGAATTTCTTACTAAGCTAAAGAAATCATATTTTGATATATCCCAACAACTGAAAAATTCACTTTTTAACTGCATAACGCCAACAAACTTAACAATTAACATAATATGTTAAAAATAAATTAATGTCAGTACTCCTTATAGTACTTTTTAGCAGCAAAAGGAGTACAAATGTACACAACATTATTCAGTATTAAAGGAAAATTAATAAGCAGCAGAACTCCATAAATAAGGTTATACTTTCCTCTCATTTTCGTACGAAAAAAATATTACGTAATTTAATTGTTTCATTAATGCTTACTGATGGAATACTATTACAATTTTAAAATGAATCGAACAGTAGAATTCCTCTCTCTTGATATGTTTGTGAACATTTTAACATTTTTTTCGTCAGATCCCCCAAAGACGCCTGTCTTAAATAAACACAATTTGCACAAAAAACTTCAGTCCTCTAAACCAATTTAAATGGATTATAAAGCTGTGTAAATCCATGAAATATGTCAGAGGTGGGAGAAAGACGTTGAGATCTCCAAAAGCTTTTGCAATACAAACTTAATTTACATACAAAATTTGAACTATACCTTTATTCATACAAGCTGTTGAAGTATGCAAAAAGTTTAAAAACTGGGTAAAAACGTGAAAATTGCTTGGACAAACTGAAATTTTGACGAATTTTAGCCGAACTTTTATGATACTGTTCTGCCAAATAAAATCCTACACTATGAATTTGAACTCGACAAACATGTTCTATCTGTTCTAATGGTTATAAAACGGATATAAAATGTACAAGCACTATTTAATGGCACTGACTGAATTAGTACCGGAAATTCACGTTTGAATATTGACGTGGAGAAATACAGCATACAAATCTTATTCATTACATTTACGATGACTTTGTCCAGTCTATCAATTCACTACTGATCTGTAAATTTTATTTCCAGTAAATTTCTGATACTGAATGCAATTTTTTATTGTGGAGTGCATATATGGAAATGTGGTACTTCTTGAGTTTGTTTTACAAGTGCTAAATTGTTATGGGAGAAGTATTTTATAGTGAAACAATTTTATCAGCATATATTATAAATATCGTTAATTTAACAATTCGATTTATCTTCACTAATATATTCTACATTAAACAAATTAATAAAATGAAGTTTCTGGGTTCAGTCATTATCATGTAAATGAGTTCCTTTTGCTAGTGCCGGCCTTAGACATTCGGCACCCCGGGCAGTGACGTCATCTCCCCCCTAAAAAAAATAAATAAATTTACTTCTTAAGCTTCTTTATATTTTGTGATATTTGAATTTCATATAATACTTTTCTTTCTAATACAGTTTCTTTGTTAATAGGCTAAAATTAATAATTGTAATTCGTTTTGTATTTTTTTCTTATAATTCTAGTAAATGGTGATTGCACCCCGGGGTGTCCAGAAGGGGTTTTTATGACGCAAGTTGCGTCTTCAAAATTATTGAGGGGAGCAGATTTTGACGAGGTTTTAAATTTTTAAGGGGGCACACTTCGACGAGATTATGAGGTTATCAAATAGGAGTGAAGAGTATCAAACCAGGGAACAAGAAAAAAAAAAACATGGACCAGACTACAGCATATGTAATTGTATGTATTCTACAGTTTCGCTAATTATACTTTCGCTTGGACTGTTTATATGAAGAGGAGATCAATAAAATTACTTGTAAAGGGAGAGGGGTTCATGCGCCATCAACCTTTAAGGAGGGCACCTCTGATCGTACCTGATGATCGGCATCCGGCCATAAGGCTGTCATTCGACTTGGCAGAAGTAAACATGAAATCCGCTGTTCTTTATCCACAATGTTCTCCAATCCATGTTTGATGTTACCCTGCAAATAATGGCACAGTCTTTACAATATAATCATGACAGGAAATTATCATCAGGCAAACGAGTCTTGTATTGGTGGGTTTTGATTTTGGTACATATTAATGTGTGGTAATAAATAAATATTTCACATATACTTGTAAACTCGATTAATGTAAAAGGAATTTCAATATTCGGAAGTGATTTGAGTAATTATTGAAAAATCTCAAACATACCTTACATTTTATAAAATATTGACACAGTTCGCCACACACCAGCCTTGGACACTAAAGAGTTCACCACCTAGTGACTAGGTAGTGCCACTGTCGCCCACTTCACCTCAGACCACTTACTTTATCAGTAAACTAAATGAGTCGAGAACCCGTCGGCTTTGTGGGACTGCTTCTCTTTCTACACTCCAAAAACTCAGCTTGTTTTAAGATCATTTAGAGCATAGTGTCGGGAATATTGATAATCCTGTTTACATCCACACGGCCATTTCGATTTATACATACTCTTTAACTCTGCTAGGCTATATCCCCTCTTTTCTAATCGGTAAGTATGTAAAATCAGTAATAAGGGAAACACCATCTGCTAAAAAATAAGTTGTTATAGTACATTTGCCACAGACACATAATGCTAACATACACAATTCAAATATCTGCTGCGAAAATTCATGGTGTCATAATTGTTATTTAGTCAAGAAGGACAGGTGGGTTCTCTTGCCGGAATCATCCCTCCTCTTTACCAATGGTTGTTATTATTCGTAGTTAATAATCCGATTATCAAATCAGAATCCTACAAATTATATTTTTTAAATATTATTTTTCAATATTTCAACAATTTTTAGTAATTATTATAATTGATTAAAGATTGTTATATTGAAATAGCGAGTAACAGACAATTGGGCATCGGTCGCCTTCATATTTTTCCGGAAACACTCAGTGCTTTCAGGAATCTATGTCTAGTGTGCTCTGGGTGATCTTGACCAGCTGCCATCCTGGAGTAGCGAAACGAAACTAGTTCCATTGGCTTATGACAAGATGGAATTGTAAGGTTTAATACCGAGGTTCTGTTGATAGAACAACTTCATAGCTTCTAAGCTTAATCCTAGAGCTTATTGTAAGCCTAAACCAATAAATCTATTATTGTTGATCCAAAGAGATAACATATTGCAATCGTTGAAGTATTTTGCTTACATCATTTACAGAAACAGTGGAGGAGCTTTAGATGAAAAGCATCACTTTGTACCCAGCTAGGGTTTTCAGCTTAGTGCTGTTTGAGTTTGTCCTTGAGCTGGCATCTAATTGTAGGTCACCTGTAATTAGCATGTGCATGTCCAAAAAATGTAAGAAACATTTTAATCTTGTTTGGATTTAAACATAAAGATTCCTTTCACCAGACTATATTAATTAGTCACTACAAACAATTAGTGAGGTGATGAGTGAAGGAAAAGGTTTAAACTGTTATACCAACTGCATTCTATGTTCATTGATAAAGAACTGTTAAAAAATTATTTAGTTGAAATAAAACAAAATATAAATATGTGGAAATTTCAGTGATGTAAACATAATAGCTTAGAAAACATAAGGATGATCGATTCCCTGGAGTCAAAACTAGCTGAAAGCTAAATGAAATATAAAACAAAAAACAATATAATACAAAAATACATTTATAGAGTAATGGTTGTTATTTATCAGTTGCAAAATCACTCAGTTAGAGATTACAATTCGTAAATATATATTTTAACAATGATTGTTATAAAAAGAACTACCTTAACAAGTAATATTTAAATCAGGCAAATTTATAGATAAAGTACATAAATCATATTTATTGATAAATATATATGTAATAATAATAAACAATAACAAAGATAAATTTACTTCACAAAAGAAAAATCTGATTTGTGATTTTCACAATTCATATAAATTTTTATAATTAAATGCCCTTTAAACTAACCATTCTCCTCCATGCCCCCCCCCAAAAAAAAAAATCATATATTCTTGTTTCATTGTTTATAAGAAAACTAATTCATAAATAAATGAAAACTCAGATTCAAAAAATTTCACGATTGCGATACTTACCCTTATTATATTTTTCATATAAAGGTAATTGAAAGTAAAAGGTAATACAAAAATACTGCTATTTAAAGTAATGATGTTATTTGCAATGATTTTATTTTCTAAATTTTTCACATCATAGCCCAACTTATATTTTAAAGAAATACATCTACAATTTTGATTTGTTAAACTTTTAAATCATTTCATACAATCTTAAGAAAATTAACAAATTAATTTTATAATTTATAATAATTTTATCTCTTAATAAATAATCTCAAAAAATAATACAATATTAAGAATTGCTTTAATCATGTATTATTATCAAGATGCATATATCAGATAACAATAAACAATAAAATATAGTCAACATTGTCTTTACTTTAACTACTTGAAATAATTTATCAATTATGACATTAACATGTTAAATTTATTTATTTCAGGAAAATAAAATGGCAGTGAATGAAAGGTTATTACATGTATCAATATTTGGAATAAATCTGGCTGTGTTAATTCGCCTAATGATGGTTGGAAATGTTACTTTGGCTAAACCAAATATATTGTTCAACTTTTATAAACGATTCAATATGAGATTTTTAACCAAATGGACCTTTGTAATAATGACGTGTATTTAAATTGGGTTTATCTCATTATGCTTATGAATTTAAATTTTTGATATTTTATTGTAATTGCAGATGATAAATTTGACTTATTACTTTTGCATGGTTCTGGTCCACATACTCAACATGTTATCTGTTAATTCCAAAACAAGTTTCAAACTTCGGAGATTTGCAGATGCTCTCTTTACGACAATTGTGGTTCCTATTGGAATGGTAAATAATAAAAAATATTGAATTCTGGAAAATTCGAGAACAATCTCTGAAATTGCAGTAAATAATGATCAAGCAATGTTTCACCAGTTGAAGCATCATCAGGATTAAAAAAACTTAAATCACATTAATGCAAAACTGAGATAACATCTTACATCAAAAGGTTTAGACCTTATTTATTCTAATAATGTAGATATGAAATGTGCTTTATTAGTGTCGATATGTCGTAGTTTTCAGTCCTAATGAAGCTTGAATTGACGAAACATTAATTGTTTAGTTATCTACTACTTATTGAGACAATCGAGGCTTTCTTTTGAATTCTTCTAATGATGTGATATTATTATTATTACAATTTTAAAGTTTACTATAATTTATAAATTTAAAATATAAACAATGTATACATGTTGTGTATACTGAGGAAAACAGGTCTCCGTGTTTTGACAGAGAGCAATATCCCTCAGCTAATGAATAAAGAAAACTACTTGCACTTCAAGAACTCCTTATGCAGGAGGAAGACAACCATAAGTCCAACCCAGCTTTCCATGGGAAGAAGGGAGCACCAGGAAGGTTACTGGACAGGAGGGAGGCAGAAAAAGGCGGAGAGCAAATCTAAGAAAGGAGTGAGGTTTGTGCACAGCTCAGCAAAGGTTTAATTTTTAATTGTTTTACTAACAGCAGAGTGTAGCTACTCATTGTAGAGCAGGCGTGGTAGGGTTGGAAATTAAATAAATAAGTATAATATACTATTTGCAATGAGAAAACTCTCCGAAATGAATGAGGCCGGATTTGCTGAGCCACAGAGAATTAACTCCAGTTTACCTCACACTCCTAACCTATGCTGATGACATAGACGTGTTCGGGAATAATGGAAGAAATCTACAATTCAACATTAGAATTCTACAGAAAGAATTACAATTCTTAAACACGGAACTTAACACTAACAAAATAAAAGTAATGAGGATAGGAAGAGAGGAAGAATATGGAGACCAAATACTCCCGCTAAAGGGAGAGGAGTCGGAACAGGTAAGAGACTTGAGATATTGGGAGCTTACCTGTGCTACCAATGCTAAAGGTCCCAGGTTCGAATCCCGGCTCATGGCAGAAAAATTATTTATTCTGTTTCATTGGCCGTGGGACGACTCTGGGTAAGTAGACCCTCCTGGGGCACACCTAGCCTCTATAAAGTGGGTACCCTTAATTAAAATAATTGGTTAAGTGGGAAAATCTGGCAGTTCAGCCTGATCTTGGTCAAATCACCTCCTTGCACAACCGTAGACCAAGAAATAGTACTTTTCCTAAATAGTACTGAACCCAAGACCCTTGATGGGTTGAAGTGGTACAGGTTTTTTTTTTTATCTCAATGGAAAAGGCTGGATAGGCAGGGAAATCAGAGAGACAATAAAATTGGTTGGAAAATGCTTCCATTCACTAAAATCTGGTTTTCTAGGAAATAAAGAAATCTCTAAAAAGGTCAAAAAAGTAGTCTACAAGACAACATTCTTACCCTTACTGACCTACGTCAGTGAATCCTGGATTTTAACATCAAGATATTGGAGCCAAATACAAGCAATGGACATGAGTTACCTGAGGAGGATAGAAGAAAAGACTAGAAGAAACAGGTTCAGAAATACGACAATTAGAAATAATTTTTAAATAAAACTGGTCATACATTCAATTGAAGAGAATCAGCTATGGTGGTTTTGGACATGTTAAAAGGATGCAGGAGGAAAGAATTGCCAAAACTACGTATGAAACGAGAGTTGAAGGAAGAAGGCCAAGGGGGAGCCTCCAAAAACACTTGACTAGGAGCAGTCCAGGAGGCACTGAGCAGGAGAGGAAAATACTGGAGCAAGCATAGCCGGCTGTTTCAGGATCGGGACTCTTGGATCAGGTTCCACAAGCAGGAACCTCTCGCACTGCTCCATGATATAACAGGGCAAGATTAAGAAGAAGTATAATATACAGAAAACTTTTGGTTCATTTATATTTTCAATACAAAATAAGATTAAATCAAATAAGATAATTTTTAAATTTAATGTTTTCAACTATTTCAGTTTATCACACTGGCCTTTTGGACAATATACCTTATAGACAAAAACCTTATTTTCCCAAACTGGCTGGAGGAAGTGATCCCACTTTGGGTGAACCACGGTATACACACATTTAACTCGGTCCTTCCATTGGTGGATTTGGTTCTCGTGAAGCACACATTTTCAACATGGCCAGAGACTGTATTTTATATTGCATTGTATTTTGCATCTTATATGATCTGGTAAGTATGTTTACACCAATACGTTAGCAGTTATATTATTAAATTACTTTTGAAATGAGAACTGATGTTTTAGATATTATTTGTTTTAGTCTTTTTGGGACATATTTCCAGCATGGGATCTGGCTCTACCCAATATTCTCAAAGATGACCTTTATACAGAGTGTCTGTTTCTGCTTGGCAAGTTATTTTCTGTCTTTGATAATTTACTTCATTGTGAGACTTATTGGAATAAGACTGGGTAATGTATTCTTACAAATAGTTGTATTATATTCAATTGTATTTAACATTCGATCAGGAGTGCCCAGAAGGGGGTTTCATGGCGCAAGTTGCACCATCAAAATTTTTAAGAAGGCCATATTTTGACGAATTTTGGAATTTTTGAGTGGGGGAGAGGCTAAGTTCGGAAGGGATTATGAATTTTTGGACAAGGGGAAAACATGGAGCAGACCGCAGCAAGTGTAATTTTATATGATCTACTATTTTTCTAATTCTACCTTAACTTGCTCTGTTTTTAAGAAAAGATGGGTAAAAAAATATCTTGGAAGGAGGGAGGGGGGGGGGAGAGATAGATTCTTGCGCTATCTATCTTGGGAAGTATGGGCATTCCTGCATTCGATTTTATTATATGTATTTACATTAATTGTATTTAGTTAATTTTTTTATTTTTTGCAGGTACCTCTGTTGTGAAATCGCATCAAAAGGAAAAGAAACATTCAAATAAATCATCCTAATAGAAAAATGTTGTTTCTATTTGTTTTTAAATTAATTTATTTCCTGAAATTATTTTTGTATTTATTTTTAAAAATCGAGCGATTTATGAAAGAAAGCATGTGATGTACTTAAAGTTAAATAAATGTATTATTTAAATTTTGTGCGCATTTATAAAATATATGATCATTTTTAATTAAATACACAGTGACTAAATTATTTAAGTATTCTTTTTGGATGGGATTATTCTGTTTTCAAAACTTTATAAATTGTAATATTTTTACACCGAGATTAGGACAGAAGAACTATTAAAGAAACTGCTCATATTAATTAAGGTTATAATTTCTCTTAGTGTTGTGCTTTGACAAGTTGTAAAGCTAAATTAAATTAAAATTAAAATTATTGCATTTATTAAAAAAGGTTGCTGATAAGATGACCATTAATCAGTGGAACTGCTTCTTTCACTCTTACGATTTCACCTCAACTTGCTGTACCAAATAAAGAGTATTCATTAATTAATGAAATCAAAACAAAAAATACATCAGGGAGCCCCTAAAGATAGAAGAGAAGGGTGGTATAATTATATTATATTATATTACATTATACAGTGTGTTCCATAAGTAAAGGGAAATATTTAAAGAAGTGACACCTCAAGTGCTACAAAAAAAACAACTTAACTACACCATTTATTTATTAAGAAATATAAAATGCGCTTTTTTCACAAATGTTTCATCTAAAGTGACAATTCATCAATATTTTTTACGTAGATCTCTTACTATAGGAATTGATCTCAATGGTATTAAATAACCAATTAATTTTCGAAACCCTATTATTTGCATTTTCAAAAAAAATAATTCATGCAGTAGTCATTTTTTTTTAAATGTTAGTTTATAAATTTATAAGGAACCCTATGTGGTAGGGTAGCACTGCTTTGAATAAAGAATTTCCCTCTTTATTGTATAAGGTCTGAAAGTAATAAATTTTAATTTTATTGATGCATACATTAAAATTTTTTTTAAAAATTTATCTGAAGATAAGTTCCATTCATTTAAAAGACACTAAAATGTTGTTAGGGACCAAATTTATAAAATGTAAATCTTGAAAGAGACCAGCATGGTCACGACAATGACAATGGATGGCAGTTTAGTTATTTACGGTAGTTTCAGAGGCTTTATTTTGGGGTCTTACAATAATAACCTTATGTCTATATTTGGGTTTATGCAGAATATGGGCATCAGGAGAGGTTAACCCGTTCAATTTTAACAATAATTGAAAAAAAATAAATTTATTCTAAAATATAGAAGCACACCCTTTTTTTAATACAGTCTCATTTATTTTCATATGATATGTTACTTGAAGCTTTTGGTGCTCTACACCGTATTCATTTAAAACATTTTTGCATATATATTTCACAAAGTACATTATATTTTCTAATTTTCACATAGGATTCTGCTGTTTTTTTCAAGCTTACTCCATTCACTTTGGATATCGTTCTTTAGAAAGTAATGTTACAAATAATTCTCATTGACAATTAATTAACAATAGAACAGATTATCACTAAAACAATTTCTATTACACCATTTTTTATTCATTTGCTTTTGATTTTTAAACCACAGATAAACAAATTCTTTTAGATACAGTATGACAACAATCTGCAATGATTGGAAAAAAAGAAATTTAAGCAATAATATAAGAAAAAGTTAGCTAGAAAGGGTATGTAGAAATGGCAGAATTCTATTTGACAATTATAAAATATAATGTATTTTGTGAGATATATGCAATACATTTTTAGATGAATACGGTGCAGAGCACCAAAAGCTCCCAATAACATATTATATGGAAATGAATGAGACTGTATAAAAAAGGGTGTGCTTCTATATTTCACAATAAATTACCCAGTCTACCTATTATAGGTAAAATATTTATATTTTTATATTTACAATATTTACTTTGGAGTCTTTCCATATCCCTTTAAGAATATCTTTGTTATTATATTTCTGCCCCCACATAAATAGAATGCAAGAAGACTTGTACTGGTCCCACATTCTGTTTTATTACACCTTTCAGCAAGAGCTCACATACCTTCTATACTATTGGTGCGAGCTCCTGTTTCTGGATAGCGGAGGTTCTCCTCGTGGCTTACGGTCTGATGTTAAGTCTGTAACCGGAAAGGTTAGCTAGACTACCGTAGCTTCTCCAACATTCGGAAATGATGAGGATTCCAGACGTAACACATTCTTTAATTACTCTAACTAATGTTGCTTCAGTTCTGTTGGAGACTGCATGAAGAAATCACTCTTTAGTTTGATTAACGGAGGTTCTTCTGATGTCCAATCTAAAAATAGGAGTCTACATAAGACCCACATATTTAAAATATTTATAAATACAGTAGATAATAATCTGCAAAGCTTAACTACTATTTGTACTTTTAAAAACTATTTTATTAAGTCAGAAAAAATATGATTAAGGAATGTTACTTAATTTAAATCTATTTGGATACTGTGAGGTAAAAAAAAGGGGAGAATGGGTTGGGAAGGCAACCTGTTCTTTGAAAAAAAAATCTTATGGGGCAGAACTAAAGTCAAACAGAATAAAATCAATTCTATAAAAATAACTTAAATCCATCTCGATCCAGATTGAATTAGAGAATTTTATTAGATAGATCAACTGTGAAATTCAATGGTTCTTATTGCAAGGGTTTTAGCTTTTACATGATCAACAGAATTAATAAAAAATATTGTGTCATAAATTTGTTTTTTCCTGAACCCTAAGATCAACAAATTTGTCAAGATTAGAATTACTTTGGAAAAACCTTTTACTCTATCACTCATAGTTGAAGTAAAAAAAAAAAAAAAATTATTTCTGTATACAGTTTTTAAGGGCTGTCAGAAATAACAGGAAAAAGAAATATAACAGGATAATTATTTCTTTAGAAAAAATGTCCAATTTTTTTCCCAAAAACTGAATCATCCATGAGGTAATTTCAAATGAAACTGACTTTCCTTATCAAAATGATTTGCAGTTTGTAAATGGCTTACTTAATACAATTATTTATTTATTAATTTATATAAATAAGGTATATTAAATCAATACTGAATGTTTAATAATACCAAGTGCCACCATGTACATTTTTTATAAGTTTATCGTTATTATATACCTGGATTTAACATGTTTTGCTTTATCCCAAATTATTGATAACTTTATTCTAGACTAAGGTTTCTATCTCTCCAAACTTTTCGGCCTGCAGACCATATTGAGGTCCCCACCAAGTCCCGTGGGCCGCATTGAGACCTCCACTAAGTCCCACGAGCCGTGGCTTGTATTGTGGCAGGATAAAAAAATCTTTTTCTATAATAATATAATAAATGACACCGCAGTTGGGAAGTGAGCTTTCTAAGTGAAATGCAATAAATGTTGTATTAACCTCCTGTTTTGGAGACTTACTAAATTTAATATTTTTAAATAGTTTTAAAAATTGTATTATGTAATCAAAGAAACCTCAGTGTAAGATTGGAATTGCTTAAAGGATGTGGACTGCAAGGCATAGTTAGCAGACCCCTGTTGTAGATAGACCAGGTCTGATCAACCTGTGACCGGCCACTTCCTAATCCAATTGGAACAATTGTATCATTTTATTATTATTTTTAATAAAATAATACTAAATAACTAAGAATTTTCATGTTCTATTGTTATAACATAATAAAGTTAGTAAATTTATTATAGAATTTTTTTTAAATATAACCCTGCTACAGAAGAAGTCCATATATATGTAGGAGGATCCAAATAGATTTAAAGTAAGTGGGATTCCTTAATCATACTTTTTTTTTCTAATTTAATAAAATAGTTTAAAAAAGTACAAGTAGCAGTTTAGCTTTACAAATTATATATATATATATATATATATATATATATATATATATATATATATATATATATATATATATAAATCATGATTATTTATATTAAATCAAAGACATTTTCTAAATAGGGATTATGAAAAAAATTAATGAACATAATAACGAGTGGATTTGGTATTCATGAATAAAAATAAATATCATAGATATATAGATGAATACTATAGAAGATATCAGAACAAAATTATTGAAAGAAAGGATAATCAAATATCTCATTAACCTGAAACTTAACTTTATTGAATCCTAGGATAAAAATAAAGTTACATTTCTTTTTTTATTCATATTATATTTTTAACAATATATTTACCTAAATAGCGGCACAAGGTTTGAAACTACCACATGGGTATTCATTCTATTTCAGATAACACCATATTCATTGTAATTCAGATAACATTATATTACTGTTAATAATGTTATTGCTTGTTTATATATAACATTTAATTGTAGATTTTATATGAGAAGGAATTAGTCGAGGGTGCGGTCAAAAAAAAAAAATTAAAATATATAAATAATTTTAATTTTTGCCGACGTTTCGACCCACTTTGCAGGTCGTCTTCAGGGCTACAAAAGATACAAACATGTTGAAAATATAAAAATAAAATAAAAAATAAATATAAGTATATATAAATTACGAAGAAGTTGTCAGATACAGAAATAAAAGATAAAGAAAATAAATACATGATAAGAAAATAGATAAAAGAAAATAAATACATGAATGTTAACGAATAAATGAATGTTAACGAATAAATTGATTGAAAATTGAATAACTATTGTTACAGTAAAGTTAAAATATGGAAAATATGAATTCCTTCTCATATCATATCAACGGTCAACCAACTCTACATCATTGTAGATTTTATAATTTAAAACGAATGCTTTGTGCTTATTCTACTTTATTTAGTAGAATAAGATTTTATACAAATTCTGAAGGATAAAAACTCCCAATGACCTCATTTAATTTATTCGGCAAATAAGTAATGGTTGATTATGAATTTTAACATTTCTTAAATATTTAAACCAATCAGAATTACAAGCACTCGTTTAACAAACAAAACCATTTAAAAATTTCAATAAGAATTGTCTGTAGTAATAATAATAATGGCTATATAAAAGTATTTAATTTATAAATAAACAAATATTACCACCTATCTCTTGTGAGATATACCCAGCAGTGCTAACTTACAATGCTAGAATACCAATTAGACAATGTAGCCAAATGTCTACGATTGTGCCTGTTAGAGAAATAAGTTTAGCTAATTATAATTAGCTTTACAAATATTTCAGATGTATTCTATTATTTTTACTAATAATCTACAAACTTATTTTTCTTCTATAATAAACTCAATTACACTGACTAATAAATACCACCCTCAGCATGTTTCAGTAATATTTCAATACAATTTCAGAACACATTCCAAATTAACTTCATACACCTTCATTGTTTAGATTGATAGCACTGATTTTCTGCTTGTTTCACACTATAAACTAGACAATGAAGTGGGGTCTTGGCAATAATATTGCATAGGAACCTTTGAATTGATAACTGAATATATATATATATATATATATATATATATATATATATATATATATATATATATATATATATTTCAGTTAGCAATGCGAAGGTTCTTATGTAATTATTGCCGATATATATATATATATATATATATATATATATATTCATTACATTAATAAATTAGTATTAAATAAAATACACATGAAATAATGAAGTTTGAATTTAATAATGATAATAAGAATTGTTACTATAAAAACAATAAATTAAAATAATTTGAATATGAATTGGTTTAATTTCAGTATATACTAAAAGTATGAATACAATATTCATGTTAAATATTAGATTTATGAAAATACTTTTACGTAGATTTTCCTACTGTTAAAAAACAAGTTGCCTTAATTTATAAAATTCGATTAATTTAAAAACCAATACTATGAAATATTGTAACATCAAAACAGTTATATTAAAATTATTGAATAAAGTTATGATTGTTTCCTTTTTATATTTGTTAATACATTAAAGTTATGTTCAGTTATGTTGAACTGAATAGTATAGCGATCTTCTTCTCAAGATAAAAGTGTAACAAGTAATAATCATTGAATGACTACTCAATAAAAAAATCGTTTTCATACCAGGAAAGAAATGCCTTAGGTCAGCAATTCTTACAATCTCAATATTAGCTCAAGCATTTTGAATGAAGTGTTAAGTCAGTTTGATCACTCAACAGATAGCAGCATCTGCAAGATATCAGCAACAATAAAAGCCTGCTTGAGGAACAGCCTGGCAGTAAACTGTTGGTGCATCTTCTGGGTTTCAGGTTCGTCCATTTTTTTTATTATTATTTTATAAAAGACATGATGATGAAGTCCAGTATCAACCCAATTAGAAATATTTTCTCCTTATGTTGGTATTATAAGTTATCTCTTCCGAGATTGTGCTGGTTATTATATCACACATTCACCTACATTGAAATACCTTGACCTTGCAACACTTATGCAATATACAGGCAAACGTAATCAAAGCAACAAGTCCCATTTTTTGTGTAACAGGTGACTGCGTCTGGGAAAGTTTTTTTTTTTTACAATTACTCTGTTTTTATTTTATCTATTATTACTTTAATTCACCTATATATAAAATATACAGTAAGTGAAAGTATTGCGTTCGTGAAAATTTTGAATCCAAGTTTCCGACGGAAATACACGTTTTGAGGTATCATGAGTCCAAATAATCAAGTTCCATAAAATGGTTTCTATGTCTGTTAATGGCTTAGCCTAAAAAAGTCATAGTAAACTGAAATTTCGTATTTAAGGAAGGTTATATTATATTCCTGATATGTAACAGCAACTTTTTCGACGAAATCGACTAATCGGAAGTGGCACTTTATATCATCGACTTTACATATTTTTACGATTTTAATTATGAAATCTTGAAATATATTGCTTGATCTTGGCGCAGAGGAACTGCTAAAATTAGAAAAGAAAATTATTGCTATAAAGCGTCAACTTTGCCAAAGGGTAAGAGAAACGTTTAACTCCAAAAGTGTTGGGAAAATAATTTTTTACTAAGTAAATACCTCTTAATTTTTTTTACTTTCTACCTATAATAGGTAAGGAAAGTATTGCAATCGGGTCAAATTTCCGATATGCGGTTTTCGACGGATCTATCCGTTTCAGAGCCCCCAGAGTCCGAAAAACACATTTTTAGCCATTGGTCTGTCTGTCTGCCTATCTGTCTGTGCAGAGATTTTCTCGGGAACTACTGAACCAATTTTGTTGCTTCTTTTTTTATTTTGTAGGGTTTTGACTACTGCTGCCTGTGACAGAAATTAGGTGCTCCATTGGCTATAGTTTGCGCGCAATAAATGAAAAACATGTTTTTCTGTAGACTGTAGCGCGAAAACGGCTCTAACGATTTTAATGAAACTTTTCTATAATGTTCTAATCATTGTCCTTTCAATTTTCGTATATAGACTAAATTCCCGAAAAAATTCAGGAAAAAAAGTTAAAAAGACAAGAAAAATATTATGGGGCAAAATGAAATTTTGTTGAAAATATTAAAATCGTTAAGAAATAGTCCGAGCGGTTCAACATTTTGCCTACTCGCATATTACGACTTTACATAAACTTGAATTAAATTGAAAGTGTATCAATATTTTTAATTTTAAGTTTAATGAGTATCCTATAAGTATTATTAATTATTAAAATATATTCCTTTAAGTATTATTAATTATTAAAATATATCCCTATAAGTATTATTAATTATTCCTGTGATTAAACTTTTTTTTTTTGCATCCCTCAAGGACCACTTTATCGTCCACCGTTATAATATGAAGAGAAACAAAGAAAGCACCACTGAAATTAAATCCTGGATCCGCTATTATCCGCTCTTATAAGATATTTTTACTTTCCTCTTTCACACTTTTGCCTTTTCATTCTCTGTTCCATTATATTGGATATTGAAGATATCCGGTTGTGGTGAAATTCGCTTTGCCCATTTCGTACAATTTCACCCGGCTCCGACGGAGGCCCCCGGCTAAGGTGTGGCGCAGGCTCCCTTGCCAAGATGGTGTCCGGAAAACACATTTACAGCCCTCAAAACCACTTTCTCTCTATACTTAAGCACTTGATAAGTACGGCTTCTAAAGATGTTATCTTACTTTCTTTCTTTTTCCAAGTTGCATTTTTGTTTACACGTTTCAAGTCGATACCACTGACTAATGCTCTATTTAAAATGGCGTACGCTTAATTAAGACGCAGTTTGGTTAAGTAACTGATTTTGAGAACTAAACTAACTGATTATATGAGATTTACTATCCGTCCCGATTAATGTTTACCTTCAACCATATACCTCTCACTTGGTTGTCCGGATGTAAGGCAATCTGTTGAAGTCGGACAATTAATTAACAGACGAATTTACATATCAGCATATTATGGTATTATAAGCAGGGTATATTGTGGTATTATAAGGTGGGTTTATTATGTTTATGTTTTTGGAGCACCGTGATTCCCGATAAGCAATCGGTACCTGATATCTCTAATTCCATCAAATTGATAACATTTATTCCACTATAATTATCAGCAATGCCCACACTACTTGACCTCCCTCTGACAGCATTGCGTGCAGTAATTGCTACTGTGAATACATACATTCTTCATTCAGGGAGAGTGGGAGTGGATAAAAAATTACTTAACAATTATTTTTGAGGCTCACTGGAAGAGCGATTTATTTGCGCAAATAAACGAAATAAAACTAATTATTTATAGCGCCAAAACTGCAAAGGCACTAGAAAAATTTAAGACAATGAATTTTGGGCCTCCGAGCCATGGCGGTGGGGGGAGGAGGGGAATCTATTGGCCGAATGGCCTGGGCCCCATAGTACCATGCCTAAGCCGGAAGTCCTCCGATATGAGATGCACTTGTGGTATGCAAATACGTCAGCTGTTACCATACCATATTATTATAAAGAAGGATATCACGTTTTCCTTTCATAATCACTAACCAATAACCGCGGAAAATGTTAGTCCGGTTATCATTTTTGTTATTATTATTTGTTTTTTACCTTTACGTGGTTAAAATATAACTAAGGGTATTTTTTATTTCAATCATTTGCAATACAAACCAAATTAAATTTATCACAGATCCGACCTCTCTCAGATGTGTTGTGCTCGACTGATCTAGGCCTGTCTCTCATTCTGGATTGCTTTTCAAAGATCTTAGTTGTAACGCTGATTTTTCTTTTCAAGACCATTGTATTTGACAACTTTATATTGAGGAAGATACGGCAAGGATGTAAGCACCTCCTCTCCCCCTCTCCGACCGACAACATCTCCACCCCCCAAGAAATTTTATTTCTCTTGCTTCTTAAAAACAATTTAAGCGAAAATAGAATTGGAAAAATTGTACATCATTTACAATTACAGTTGCTGTGCCTGTTCAATGCTTTTCCTTGTTCTCTGTTTTAGAAGTTCTTCCGGATTGAACCCCACAATAATATGGTTTCTCCTAAAAAATCATAAGATATGATTTTTAAATATGCCCCCTCAATAATTGAAGATACTATAAACACTTGCTTCCTCTAAAACTTTCAAACTTCTTTCTGGACACCTTTGGTTACTTGATATTTCTATTAATTTGTTTTAAAACATATTATATGCCTATAATTACTTTACTTTACTTATACTTAATACTTTACTTTACTTTATCATTCGAAACAGTTTGACATAAGTTACATAGAATTATTATTGTTAGTTGTTTTTTAAAATAATTATATAAAATAACTGATACCTCTTGTTGCTTTCATTGTCATGGCTGAGGCAGCCTAGTAGTATCAATACGTCTATAAAGAACGAGCCCATTCCATTTAATAAATTGCTTCGAAATTATTTTTATAGCTGTACGTCTTTTTTTAAATTATCTCGCAATATATGTTCTATAAATATGAAAATGAGATGAGAAGGTATATCTCACTAAAATGAAATTATCTAACTTTTTGCGGCTAGGCCATAAAAAAAAGAAGAAAAAAAAGAGGTTTATCATGTTTTGTTTACAAGATAAAAATTGAATGGGATCCATCGTCCTTGAATATTTTAAAGTTTTGCTGATTGTTATCAACATTAATTTTTGTTAACGTAATACTTTTATGTCATCTTATCTGCTCATTTACCGACGACCCTAAAGCCTATAAGTACTTGCTTCAAAAACCTTTGTAATTTTATTATAAAGTGCGATTTTCATCTTATGAATAATTTTAGTTTTTGCACTTAACATGTTGGCTTTTTGTCTATTTTTCCTTCGTAAATAATAAACTATTTGCACTGAATCGAAAGTCGTCAGTGGAAAGGGGGGGGGAGTTGGGATTTCTATCCGTTTTGGAATCCCTAGAATACAATTCTGCAATTTTTAGAGATGTCAGTTATATATTTATTTTAGAGATGTCAGTTTTATATTTATATATTTATTTTTTATTTACCGCAACTTTTCGGCTTCCCCAGTGGCCATATAGAGTTTCTTTCCACAAGGAACAATACTATTAAACTTCAGAAAAAGCTTTTTAAAATTTTCGCACGTGAGAGCGGTTTTTCATGTTTTACAGAGAAACGGGTTTTAAAGTATTGCGCATCTCAAAAGCTCCTCCTAACAAAGTTAGAAGGTTCAAATTTTGTATCAATATTAAGTTAGCATTGAGAGATGCCTTTGGCTCTCATCACCAGCCGCCATTTGGTTTCAATGTCGCGGCGGAAAACCCCGTTTCTCTAAAGACTACAGCATTAACGCTTTCCTAAAGCGCTGCCTATGAAACACTATAAATGTATGTATATAACTTACTTTCTCGAAAAAAAAAAAAAAACCTGAAAAGGCGTTTTGATGGATTCACAATTACATTTTCGAATAACTCAAATATGCATTTTCCTCCTTTTTTTTTTGGGTCAGAACATATTTTGAAGACATTTAGAATTTCTAAAGGATAAAAAAAAAAGCTGCAAATTATTTCACAATGGTTTATTATTTCCAAACAATTATACATCTAACATTACCTCCCGAGTTGTAAAGAAAAATAAACAATAGGTGATTCCAATTATTGGACTAAACTTTTTTTTTAATCATTAGTAATATGCTAAAAAAAAATAGCATTATTTCAGTGACACATTCAAAATTTAAAAACCAAACCAAGGATATAACATTTAGAGTAGAACATATTAAAAAAAACGGAGACCATATCTTTGCTCCTAATTTTAACGTCCGATTTTAACGATTTTTTTTTTTTGTTGAAAATGACTTTAGCGAAGTTTCATTGAAATTTGTACATTCGTTTAGGAT